TTCCTTCCTTCTTTCCCTTTCCTTCCTCAGTTCATTCGTCAGTACCCACTGATTACTTCCATACACCAGCATTGTTCATGGCACTGAGAACATAACTTTGAAAAGGTCACAGACATTGTCCACAAGGGATTCACAGTCTAGCGACCTAAAAACAGGTACCAAGCATACCCCTTTACTGTATTCTGACGTAGAAAGAGAAGTAAACTGTCCAGGTGACACAGAGAGCCAGCTGAGCCAGCCAGGAGACGGCTGCCAGGGCAGGCTTCTGGGGTATGTGATGCCTAAGCTAAGCCCTGGGAGACAAGCAAGAGTTAATTCTGGAAAGAAGAGGAGGGAAGACATGCTAGGCAAAGAACACATCACAAAAGTTCACAGGCATAGTCATTAATGTACAAGGAACTGCCAGTGGAGGCTGGGCCAAAAGTCACTCAGGAGACGTTCAGCGAGCGCTTACTATATACACAACCATGTGTTAAGTACACGAATGGTATGCGAACATATACGATTTTTGGACCTCCATGAATTTACGGTTGGTTTGAGGAAACAGGGCATGTACATATCCCAGAAAGCTGAATTACAGCAAAATTTCTCACAAAATGGCACATGATTGAATGTTAAAGGAAAGGTAGAGAAATTAAGTTCTGTGAGTAGAGGGAGGGTCATGGCGAGTAGGAGTGTCAGAGTGGCTGCACCGCAGATATAGGGTCTAGTCTGAACATCGACAACTGAGAAAGTCTCATAGGCAGAAACTGTGAGGCTGCTTCGAGTGAGGCAGGACGGCCTGGCCATAGGAGGTGAGGCAGAGACCCACGACGTGTACAGAGATACGAAGTCTATGTTACAGGAGGCAGTAGGCAGTGCTGGTTGGGACCCTGGCCCCGCTTTGTTCAAACCGGGTAACCTTGGCCAAGCCACTTGACCCCTCTGTGCCTTGCTCCACCTTTGCAATGGAGCTGATAATTCCACGTGCCTCAGAATTTAAGGAGTAAGTTTATAAAATACACTTAGAGAAGCTTCTAGAAATATAAAGTGCTCAATAAATGAGTTTTATATTGTGTGTGCTTG